TCTCTCTTGTGCACTGTTCCGTACTTAAACGTCTGTATTTGACAGTTATACAAATAAAGAATGGTATCAGATACACACTTTCAAAAAGTGAGCTGATCCATATGTACATTAACGGCATATATGTATGACCAGCCAGCTATTTAACTATGTCTACTTAGGGCAAGAGAATGTCTGCTTGTTCAGCTTTGTTAAAGTCATCATGGCTGCAGATGGAGTGAGTTCTGCCACCTGAGCAGCCCTGATGGCTGGCATGTGGCCACTGCCCTAACACTCAGAGCACCAAGATGCCTTCTGTTAGAAACTGCCTGCGTAAAAACTTCTTTCAGTAACAGCTGTCTTGGCTTTTCAGTGTTGTGTAAAAGTACTGTTTAAAAGAGCTTAATGCTTTCTACCTGAGGTGTAATTTATGGTAAATGATTTATGTTCAAATGCTAACACACAATCTTCCCAAAGCTCCCACAACTGGCCATTGCCAGTATTGAATTTACACATGCCACCAGTCCAGGACTGCTCCGACAGCCCTGAACTTGTCAGAACTTTTGTAAGCTACCAAATAAACCTCATGCCTTTGTTAAGCATCCATTATTAGATCTTTATGGCCAGAAGAAACCCTTTCACCACTGGTTTGATTTCTATATAATACAAGCCATCGGTCTTATTCCTGCTCTGTCTGGGTAATAGTACTTCAATCAAACCATGTCTCATCTATAACCCCTGGACACTAAAAACGTTGACTCCAAGTCTTTGATAAAGATATTAAACAATGCAGAGCTGAAAAGCAGCCTTGAAATACCACAAAACCACAGCTATATATGTTTTAAATTGCTATTTTCTAATAACACATTTCATTGGTCCAGTTTCTTAAGAGAAACAGTATAAATTCAATGAAGGTAAAAAATAAAAGTCAACAAAAAATCTGTAAACTGACTTTAACATTAGACTAAATTTGGTTTTGATAAACCCATGCTAATTAGCAATAGTTATTTTACTATCAATTCTTGATTAATCAAACTTTCCTATTTTACCCAATTCTTTACCTAAGTTTAAGCAACTAAGACCATTGTATTTTGAATAAGGGCCTTAACTTTCCAGTCTTAACTTAAGCTAGTCTTCCTGAACTTCTCAATTCATCTCAGATCTAATTAAAACAGTACTCCCTCCCCACCCAGCTCATCATGGTCCAGAAAGTGTTTAGCAGGGCTTTTTTAAAAAGAACTGGCCAAAGCATTATTTGGACATTCTGATTTAAGGATTTTGACAATTTTTTAGAGATTTTAACATATTCATTTGTTAATAAAATGGAAAATAAGACTTCTCGCCAAGATAGATAGAATTGACATTTAAAAAATATCTACCATATTTATACTGACAATCTAATACTTCCACAAGTACAACCATTAAGGTAAAGCATCAGGAACAACAGAAAATCTCATTATTACTGTTTATAATTAATAGAGATTAAGTTTTCTTTCTTTAATGTCTTTTGCTTTTTTATTGCCTATAAACCCAGGTTTTGAACTTGGTTTATATCACTGGGTTTTGCCGTTAGTTTGTCGGGTTTTTTTAACTGCCAGTTTTCACATCCCTGTAAGCCAGGCTGATCTTTAACCAACAGGTTTGCCTTGACATTGTTTATTTTGTAAGAGTTTAATAACATGTTATAAGTAGAAAACAATAATTCACATTTTAATGTTTAAATGTTTTTCGTGGTTCAGCTTGATTATTTCTATCATCCTTAATCCATTTCACTTACAGTGCTGAGTACGTGTATTTCAGGCAAGTCTCCATTAAGCTGTAGTTGCTTGCACTTTGACAACCGTTCCTTTTTCTTCTGCAGTCCATTTATTTAACCATTTCAAGGTGAATAACATATACCTCTAAAATGGTAGATCAATGCCCAGAATCCAGAGCTCACATCACCTCAGGATTTCCAACAACACTTTCATAATCTGTACTGAGATTAGTGCCTGAGTGTGCTTTACCTGGATTGAAATCCCACTATCCTCACACCTGAAAAATACACAGCTACTGGGTAAGGCACAACTTTCAGTGAGATTGCCACAGTAAATAACTAACAGTACTCCAAATAATGTTTTAGATGCTCTGGATAAAATGTCCTGTCAGCAATTACTTGTCTCCAATTTGGCAAAGACTTACAAAACAAGCATATTATTTTTGGCAGTGGTCAACACCACTTTTGGACACTCAGTCTCACACTGATTACATGGAGTAATTTACTAGTTTGTCCACATAGGTCTTTCTTCTAGGTCAATTTTTATGCATAAATAAGCAGTTTCCATTTCTCTTGCATAAGTATCTAGGAAATCATATAAAAATGCTTTTTTTTGCTTCTCTTCTTTTTCCTTGGTTTTATGAGTAGCAAGATAATACCCCAGCTAAAAATACCTCTGCTAAAACTAACAGTAATAAGGCTTTTAATAATCATCAGAAACCAAACGAGTTGCTGCTCAGTTACTGTTTTGGGTCCTGTACACAACAAAGCAATATAGGATGAGAATTTGTGAAGGGTTGGTTGTTTGGGTTTTTTTTCAATCTGCTTTAAAGTAAGATTTAATCTTTCTGGAGAATTTGCAGGTTGTGCATAACTGCATTGAAGTTGCCAAAAATACATATTTTAAAACTTATTTTAAAGCAGTGAGGCCCCCACAGAATGAGAGAAGGAACTAACCTAAATGGAAAACATCTGCTCATTTCAAAGAACATGTTCAGCATAATTATTATTTATATATGCTCAAGTTATAAGAGTCATTTCTATTGTGTCTTATTATGGAAAATCTTGGCTAGGGTAAGAAAATAAAGCATAAAAATACAGCTGTTTGTCCAAGAAGTTTAGATTTTAAGATAAGGAATTGCAGTATGATTCCACAGCAGCTTAACCTAATATGATCAGCAGAGCCAGCAAAATGTGATCGCTTTTTGGTCATTTCAGTTGTCTGCAGTGGCTCACCACCTGGTTACACGAATACCAGCTCTGGGCCTGGAACATTTTGAAGTGCAGTCTAGCACAACCCTGAAAGAGCAATTGTGCTGCCTCTAGAGCTGACCATAATCTAACCACGATTCACAGCCTTGATTTCTCTCATGCTGGTGACACATGCTCACCCCTACAAAAACCCAGATAAGCATAAATGACACTGATCCATAAACTAATGATAATTCCCTGCATCTGCTACAGCACTGGGGAAAAACCAAAACCAAAACCAAAACTCTTTACTCAACCTCCCATTCATTCAAACTTAGTTTAAGGTCTCATGTACCAGTAAATTTAGCTGGGGATTTTAGACTACTGGGCAGCATGTTCATGTCTGAGCTTGGTAAACAACTGGGCAGGAATGAAAAGCACTCCACAGGACGCAGCCCTGTCCTACACTGCTAGACACTGTGATGGCTGGGGACTGAAACAGGCTCAGCCCCTAATTGCACTGTGCAACTAAACTGTAACAGTTCATAATATGATCCCAAAATAAGAAGTCATATTCCAATGTGAAGCAATAAAAGAAGGGTAATATTTCAGAATGTCAACAAACCCCAGCTCACCTGTTTTATGCATCTCGTAATACTTTAGGTTTGCCATTCTTTCATATGCATTGAACTCACTGTTTAGTCACAGAACAGTGACATGAAAGTTGACCTATCGGTATGGGTACGCTTGTTTTGCTATTTGAGTGTGTGTGTACATATATATGTTTGATATCTTTCAAGAAAATAATACGTTATGAAAAAATAGAAATTACAGTGAAACTCAAGCAAAAAAAGCAAAATGTAAAGCCTAGTGTAGTATCAGAAGTAGCTGATGCAATTAGCTGCCTAGAAAAATTCAGTAATAGGTTTGATAACTGGCCCAGCTGCTCAAACTAGGAATAAAAACATTTTATAGCTAATGAGACTTGTATGTGATTTCATATAGGTATGTGCTACAGTGGTCAGATACATCTCACAAGTAAGTCTGTCCACTTTCAGAAGAGGGTTCTTGGGAATAGAGAGACAGGGTAGCAGGCTATTTCTCCGTTCAGTCATGCTTTCATGGTGTATTGTCTAAAATTATCCCAGTGAGGCAGGGTGGAGCTGTGTGTATAAAGCTGAAGATGCACACACCCAGCTAAATTTACTGGTACAGGAATGCTTTATTTAGCTACAATACACGTACATCTCATGCATTTATCATGCATAAAGTTTACTACTTGCATCATTTGTAGTATCATATTTGTTTACTTCTGCTAAAGCAGAATGATATTGCTGGTGATACTTAAGTTGACAACAACCAGAGTCAGGAATTCAAGTATTCCTTCAGGAAAAAAAATAAATAAAATGGGGGCCAAGAAATTAATTAGTAATCCTGGGAGCCCTGGAAATACCAGAGCAAACAACATTAAATCTCTGCACCCCACACAAGTGGGAAGCCAAGTTAAAGAGGGTAAGGACTGCTTATTTGAAGCACTAGGACCTCATTTTGGCAAAATTAATAGCATTACAGTGCTTTCTATAGCTAAAGTAAATGTACAGCTGAAGTATGTAGACGTGCATTCCCAGCACAGATCAGGCTATAGCTTCAAGCTGTTCACTATAAAAAGGGACAAAATCAGAACTCACGTTTGAAATCACTGCACAGGAATTCTGCAGCAGAAGTTGAGAGAGAATGCTGCCTTAAATTGTATGTACTTTTAACTCTATCATTCCTCTCTTCTTGAGATCTAATTTCTCATCTGACTTTTAAACATGTACAATGTATGCAGCGCATTTTTACACAACACAGCGTCCTGAACTACTTGAGCCTTATAAAAGAGTCTACACTGTGCATTAGTACACCGTGTATTAGAATGTGACTTTTTCCATAGGTAAAAGGACTACTTAGTTTGCACATAATCAAAGCCAGTATAGTAAAGAAAAAAAAAACCCAAACAAAAAACTTTTCACAATTAAATTTTCATATAGTTCCCTTCAAACAGCTAATACTCACTAGACCTCAGAAAATGATTTACCTCATTATCTGTTCCCACATCCAACATCACTGGTAGGCACTCGTAAGGTTTTACTCCTCCGCATGCCGTATAAAGTGCCAGTTTACCAACTGGAATGCCCATTCCATAACAGCCAAGGTCTCCAAGACCAAGAATACGTTCTCCATCTGTCACCACAATAGCCTGAAGGAAAAAATAAAAGCACTGTAAAAATCAGTACTTTCCTTGTATGTACTATGTATTCCATTAACTTCTCACCACAAACTTTCATGTTCATGTATACATTCTTACAGGTAAAACCAAATCAGTAGTACAAAAAAGACCCAGAACTGGTTTGTTGTATTTCACTGTGGTTTTGTTCCACTATTTTAGACTCTTGCTTCACGCTAAATGGGACTTTCACATAAAACTTTTAAAAATACGAGAGGTATTTGCTATCACTTTACAAGAAAACTGGCATTGTTCCCTTTTACGTTTTTCTGTCAGCAGCATGAAAACAGAGTAAGAAGGAAAAGGAAGTTATCCACAAAAAAAGAAGAGCCCCAGACTCCTGGATTTTGTCATGGCTGTTTTCAGCAGAATCAGAGCCAGACACTCACTCCTGCTGTACTTTGACAGGGCAGTCCACAGCCACCTGGTTCTTACCCTTCAAAGATGTAGTTCTTCTTCCCTTAAGCAAATAACACACCATCATACTTAAACATATGAGGAAGTATGTGGGGTTTTTTATTAAAAAGATTTTTAATAGTAAAGGACAGAAGTGCTCAGTATGGCAAGTAGCTGATAACACAATAGTTTTCTTGCCATACTCTGTGACAAGCCATTTTAGTTGGAAATTTAATATGTTTTTGTGATAGAGCTCATCAGGTATTACATGCGGAGAACTATTAACCCAAACACTAGACTGGGTTGCCACAAGACCTTGTGGAGTCTCTATCCTTGGTGATACTCAGAACCCACAGGCTGGATACAGCCCGGAGCAACCTGCCCTGGCTGATCTTGCTTGAGCAGAAGGATGGACAAGATGGTCTCTAGAGGTGCCTTCCTAGCTCAACCACTCTGTGATACCCTGAAATCCAGAAAAAGCATTTAGGTTTGTTTGGGGTTTTTTTTATGCATAATATTTAATGTAATTGACCAATTAATCAGTAAAGGATGCCTACAGCTGAACAAGTAAGGGTTTTTAAAAGCCTCAAAGTTTGGCTGTATCAGCATTGTTTCTATTTCAAAAATGAGCTAAGAAATCACTGAAATCTAATTGATAAAAAGCTTATAAAAGTATCTTAACCAAGTCATGTTGGGCACAAAACAGTGTCAGCTTTGTCATGCAACTAAAACTGAACTTACCTTGATGACATTTTCTGGCCAGGATTTAAGCATTGGAGGGATGTGTCCCCGGTCATGGATAGTAATAAAAAGACCTCTGAAAATTAAAAAAAACCCCTTCTTGTATAAACAGGCAATTAAACACTTCAGTCAGTATAAATCTATCAAATAATAAATTACCTCTATGAAAATGTGTTTCCGAAATACACAGATTCAGTTCAGTAAGTGCTCAATTTTGTGAATGAGTACATTAAATGTCTGCATTTCACAGAAGTCAGGGAACATGAAAGTCAGTAAAGCTTCCCTGAGCAGTGAGAACCTCTGAGTCATTTCGGAAAATTACTAAGTTTGATTTTAAAGATCACTGAGCACTTGATCTGTTCGAATGTGTTTGCTAATTGTCCCAGACCACAAAACACATTCATCAAATGATCACTACTACCCCAGCAGTCCTAATGTTTACAGACAAGAATAGGCCAAAGTTTTAATCTATGAACAAATCCTGAAATAAATCATGTATTGTCACTACATAAAAGAATTCAAGTGCATTCAGTTGCGTGTTTAGAAAACAGTCTGCCTACTTAATTAGATTGCCCCTTTGACACCTACAAAAGTGGGAAATTATCTTCTCTATATGAAAATCTCTTTGGTTTGAAAGCACGTTGCACATCCTACAGTGCTGAGCACACTGAATTTTTACTTTGAAGAATGTTCGTAAATTGGCCTTCAGTTTCACCAATACAGAAGAGTATAAAACAAAATGACAGAGAAGTGCAATTCTTATTTCTTTTTTTTAATTTATTATAGAAGCAAAATTGATGTAGTATCTTATCATACTGTTCAGCATTTTAAGCTTCATTTATTTTACTTGACATGTAGATATACATCCAGGCACACTCAGACTTAATTCCATTTCTTATCTTCTTTTCTCATGTGAGACACTGGAAAAAAATTATCCCACTAAATTCCACCTCTCAAACACTATGAAGAAAACATACATGAAGAAGTACATGCCAAAGATGCCTTCTTGTAACTGTAGTAACTGTAAGGAGTTTTCTTTTGGAATTATTCTTAAGTACTTCATACACCTATTATAAAAATTCTAAAGTAAAAATTAGAAGAATATTGAAAAATAACTTAAATCTGAGTGTACTACAGTATCTCTATATTCAAAGAAATGGGTAGATGCCCATGTGGGTCTAAATAAAACCGGTAACTCAGGGAAATTCCTCTCAGATATGACTGCAAGTACTCCAAGTTGAGCAAAAAATTTTCTGCAGTGTTAAAAAATATATCAGTCAAGACAGCAAAATTAATTCAAATATTATATTTAATATGTTTAAATATTTCATACATATTAATATATATTTTTATACTACCATGTGATTTATATTTTTATATTGAATTGTACATTTGATTTCATACTTAAATGTGCTCTTCTCTTTGATGTCAAAAATATACAGTTGAAGTTGTTCATGGACAAAAGGCAGCATAAGACACATTGCAATTCACCGAAGTATTTCCAAATTTTAAAGTTAATGATTCAGAAACAGAAACTATGACCTCAAGTAGCTAACTAAATAAAAACTGGCATGTTTGGAAAGGAAATATATATGCACTGCATAAGGGAAAGAAACCCAAAACAATCAGCCTTTGCTGGTTAGAGATTTTTAACTGTTTAAATTTCATTTTATGCATTACCCCCTAAAACCAGGAATTCTTTCTCTGATCCTGACATTCCCAATTAATTCCCTTCTGCCTACATTTCCCATGCTGAGCGCAAACACACCATGCTGCATGATTACATCTCTCGGTTATTTCTTAATATATAATGCCTGTCAGCAGATTAATCCCTCCACCCCAGTGGAAGTGACAGTTCTCAGGGGTGGGAGAGCTAGTATTTATAGCACTTTTCAGAAGTTGTGGCATTCACAACATACAAGCATTTCTATTTGGGAGCCAACTACCTGAAAAAAGATGGCTCTAAGTGAAACACAGTAAAGCAGCAAAGCAAATGCAGATGCTGCCTTTCAGATGTGTTGTACAGTGAGTCATTTTATAGAACACTGTGTAAACTGTTAAATCATAAAATACCGCTTATCAAAATTGCTAGCCTAAGACAGTCAATTGCGGGAGATGACCATACAAAAGGAAATGAAGAGTGCAGAAGGAAAGCTATATAAAGCATCACCCCTCTCCTTGTCCTCACACTCCAATTTACACCGACCTAATAGATTCATGTTAAATGAAGCAAGATTTTGTATTGGTTTTCTAAACAGCCAGAGCCCAGCCCAGTGTGGTTAAATGACCTTCTTCTTGAAAACCAGGGAGAGAGGTCTCCATGGAATAAATTCCCCAACAGAGGAAAATAAAGGCAGAGTGGCTGCTCCAGAAGGAATTTTGTTAGAACATTTGTAAAGACATTTGAATAAGTATTGAGAGTGTATTTCAGAAATCTGTCCAAGCAGGATCACATTCAAACAACAATGGAAAATAAGGGCTGAACTGTAAACAGAGTGATGTTGAAAGCATTTCAATCCCCTCCTTCGTGTCTTCCCTCCATTCTTTCCATAGATTAGCAAAACGTTTCTGGACACATTGGCCTTACAGAGAAGATGACCTTAGATTTAAGGGCACAGACTAAGACATATGAATCTTTCATTCTTTTATCTGGATATGTTTTTCTCATCCTTCATTTCTTTAGTTAAAGCACTTTTCTCCTTTAAGGTGTCCTCCACAGGAAGGTACACCAGGTTGCAAGAGGAACCCCATCTTGCAATGGTGTCAGCCACAGCAATATTCAGCTTGCATTACTGGGACCGAACTTGCTGGCAATTCTACCTGCAGGCAACGACCAAAAGCTAGCACTGTGTATTTTTCATTTCCATGAGGTCATGCTATGTCCAGGAAAAGCACCAACTGCATAAGGTTACTACAATTTGGATTGGATGACACAAGCTGACAAGGTAACCAACTGTTTGGCTATCTAGTGGACATTATATTTATATTTTGGCTGTCAGAGCACAGCCATGAGCAGAATCAAGAAAGGGGTAAACTACACAGTTTAAATTGGATTAAACTATATCTATATATATTTCAGTCCAGAAAAAAAAAACCCAGATTTATCCATTTGAGGATGATTATGATAATAATTGCTGTCATGTCAGTGACGCACACCCTGCTCTGCTAGATGCAGAGCAAGAGACAGCCCATGTTATATGCATCTGACTTCAGGATGAGGCTGCTACAGCAGATGGACAAATAAGACATGGAGAAAGAAGCAAGATACAGAAAAAAAAAGATGTTTCAAGATAATATTTAGTGTAAAAAAAAAAAAGATGAGAAAAAATACACTGCATGTTTCTCAACACATACATTTTCAAACATCTAACAAGAAAAGCTTCTTATGGGGAAGTAGGCTTAAGGTCTCCTGGACACCCTTTCAGAACAGCCCAGGTTGACAAGCTAACTGTAAAAGCTAGCATCAATTCTACAACACAGGATGGTCTTTTCTATTTGAACTTACATCTCAGTTATATGTATTATCTTTTCCTTTGAGGCAACCAACTAAGACCTGTTGAGGCTTAAAGGCCAATCAGCAAAACTGTGGCTTAAAATTGACTTGAAGCTTGCAGCAGCAGATTAGTCTTCAAATGAATGTGTTCATTTTGAACCTGGCATAATGCAAATCTACATGGAACATGTCTGAGTGAATAAGCAGAAGGGCTTATCTTTAGTCACTTTGGCTCCAGATAGATTTCAGTTCAGCATTGGTTTATACCAGTCTAGCCAAAGGGATCACTTATGCCCATTTCAGATAGCCAGACGATATATTAAACTACAGCGGAGGAATAATTACACAGAGAAGTAACCATGCCTCCTTTCTTCTCATCACACCACCAGTAAAAACAAAGCCCTGAAGAGTGAGGGGAGAACCTATGCTAAAACACTGGGATCCACTCAACAATGGGTAGATCTGGATTTTTAAGGCCGCTTCCAACCCAAACTGTTCTATGATTCTGTGATTCTGTTCTGGGTCACTGAGCTCACTACACTGTAGTGCATTTTACCAATTATGTGGAGGTCGTTTTACATCACATAGTCTGGCTCTGTTTTATTAGAACTCTGATCTATGAGAACGAAGCAAACAATTAAATGGAGTATTTATTTATTATGCTTCATGGAAGAAATGTCCACCAGCAATGTATTTGTCTATTATCTATTAAAGAACAGTTTAGAAAAATGTGTCGCAGTAACAGAATAATCCTTTCTTTCCTCTTCTTACAATAACAGGAGGCAATCTAACATGTCTCAGAAAATGCCAAACATTTTTTAATGAAAAAAAGTTCAAACTTTTCTCACAACCCTACATGTTCAAAACTGTTACTTGAATTCTGAACTGTACATACAATTATAGTAGAGGTGACTTCACTTCCCCAGGCAGTCTAAATCAGCAAGCTGAATAAGAATAGCAATAGCAAATCTCAGGGACTAGCCACAGTTTATTTCTGAGCCTAGACAGACCCAAACTCCCGCACTTTGCAAGAAAGAGGTAAACTACTTCCTTAGTCCCTGTTGAAATTACCTCCTATTTTTGTCAAGTAATAGAGCAGAAAAGTCATGAAATTAACCTGAAAGACAGCAGCTGTAAGCCTGGCATTTGAAAATACGACCTAAGGGGAATGAGGTTTCAGAAAAGAAAGGATAGGGTTTGGAGCAGTAAAAGGCACATAACTGTAGTGACACGAAGATTTAGATACTGGGGGATCTTTTAGTATAGATGTTAAAATATTATATAAAAATAGACAAACAATAAAGATGGGGGGGAGAAGACTACTGGGGTAGGTAGCTACTTTGATTATCAGCAAGCCGCAAAGCTCCAGATGCTGCATATCCAAGAATAAAATTAAACACAGTATCTGCCCAAGAGCTTCAACTACAGCCCATACCTCTGCCTTGGCTCTTTGATAATGGATATTGTGTGTTTCAAAGAATCTCATCCAGGTAGCACTATGGTGAGAAAAGCTGGGTCAAACAGCTCCATGGGATAGCAGGAACTTCCAGATGGATTCCCTTTGCCCACAGATTGTGTTTTAC